TGTGTGTGTGTGTGTGTGTGTGTGTGTGTGTGTGTGTGTGTGTGTGTTTGTGTTTCAGAAGCGGGAGGCATTTTGCCAGCTGCTGCAGCTGATGAAGAACAAACATTCCAACCAAGACGAGCCAGACATGATTTCCATCTTCATGGGCACCTGGAATATGGGTAAGACACAAACACACATTATTCGTAATATCTTTAGATACATGATCCACGTTAAAAGCAACACACACTGAGTCATCATTTATTTTCATGTAGTGCATTTAAAAATAACAGAGTATGTGTTTCCAGAGCTTGACATTCGTATTTCTGAGGAGGAGAATGTAATATTTTGGTCATGGTCTCTAGGCTCAGTGCCTGCGCCGAAGTCTCAGGCCTCATGGGTGTTGTGTCGCGGCCTCGGGAAGACTCTGGACGAGATTACGGTCACCATCCCTCATGACCTTTACGTGTTTGGAAGCCAAGAAAACTCTGTGTGCGATCGGGAGTGGGTGGAGTCACTGCGCGCCATGTTGAAGGAACAGACGGAGCTGGATTATAAACCGGTGAGGAAAGAAAGGATTTTCTGTAAAATATGACATTCAGAAAGAAACGATGACTAATTGGTTCCCAACTCTCTGTTGTTGTCATTGGTTGTAGATCGCAGTGCAAACTTTGTGGAACATAAAAATTGCTGTGTTGGTGAAACCGGAACACGAGAACCGGATCAGCCACGTGGGGATGTCCAGTGTGAAGACGGGCATCGCCAACACGCTGGGTAACAACAGCACTCAGTGTTCAGTCTTTATTCTTCTTCACGTGCTTTACTCTCTGGACCAAATATAGAGATATGAACAATGGAATGGAACGGCGCTATCAAACACTGACTGATTTCTGTTAACAAAGGAGTTATTATGGATTTTATCACTGCAACTCTTGTGGTCTCACCAAAAACTATGACCTAAGAAACCATCTAATTTTGTTCAATAACGTAATGCTTGTCGTTAGTCAATTACAGGTAATAACTGTAATAAATGTATTTTGAATGTTTGTTTTGGCGTTTGTTTGTTAAAGGTAACAAAGGAGCTGTGGGCGTGTCCTTTATGTTCAACGGGACGTCTTTCGGCTTTGTGAACTGTCACCTGACATCAGGCAATGAGAAGATTGCCAGGTATCCACCTCAGCCCTACACACATGTTGTTCATGGCCATTTTATTTCATGGTCTTGTACCTTTTACCCCTTTGCATCTACATGACACACATTACTCACACTCATTTACCTTTGACCCCTACAGGAGGAACCAGAACTACCTAGATATCCTCCGCCTGCTGTCGTTAGGAGACAAACAGCTGAGCTCCTTCGACATCTCGCTGCGCTTCACACACCTCTTCTGGCTGGGAGACCTCAACTACAGGCTGGATATGGACATACAGGTGAAGCAGAACTCAGACACACGGCACACAAGATTGATGAAATGCAGCAGATGTGCATGACACCTCCTCTCCTTTTGTGTCTGTGTGCAGGAGATTTTAAACTACATTAACAGGAAGGAGTTTGAGCCCCTGCTGAAGGTGGACCAGCTCAACCTGGAGAGAGAGAAGAACAAAGTCTTTCTACGCTTTGGTTAGTGTTTCTACCGGACTTCTGGCTTACAGTACTGTTTATCTCCTCTTGTGTTCATAAGATTTATTTAATTAATAAAATGCTCCGCTCTGCACCTTTCCACTCACCTGCGAGGAGTTCTAACAACAGAATGTGTGTCTACCTGTTTGCAGGGGAGGAAGAGATCTCGTTCCCACCCACCTACCGCTATGAGCGTGGCTCAAGGGACACGTATGTGTGGCAGAAGCAGAAGGCCACAGGGGTTTGTTTACCAACTCACACACAACATCACAGACGGTCGTCCTCCCAGCCGTTTCTGAAAACTGATGACTCTACTGTGTATTCTACTGTTCTTGTCTGTCCCAGATGAGGACCAATGTTCCATCCTGGTGTGACCGGATCCTGTGGAAGTCCTACCCGGAAACACACATCGTCTGTAACTCCTATGGTGAGAAAAAATAATTCATACATTTGTTTCAATTCAGTGTAACAGAGGTAGTTTTTTTAGCAATTTTAGCAACTGGGTGTAGTGGTTAATTTCCCCTAAACATTGTAAACCTCTATATATGTCTTGTACATGATGATGGGACTTCTATCTTCCTTTGTTTGTCAGGCTGTACAGATGATATAGTGACCAGTGATCATTCCCCTGTGTTTGCTACCTTCGAGGTAGGGGTGACCTCCCAGTTTGTCTCCAAGAAAGGTACAAGTGGATTCAGTTAAATTTATTTTCCTTTGTTTATTTTCTGTTTCTGTCAATCGTGAGTTAAGCTGAATATAAGCTGTTGCTCATTTTCATTCATACTGTGTCACGGCTTCTATTTTAAAAGTTAATGTAATGCAACTGAAGGTCAGTTAGTAAGTGCATAGCGTTTAATCTTTTCACATTCATGGTCTGTGTTATGTTTCTGGCTCACCGTCTTCCCCCCCCCCCCCCCCCCCCCCCCCCCCCCCTCCGCCTCCCACCACCCCGCGCCTCCTC